GCTCTCCTGTCCTCCCGCTAGCAGGTTGTGTGGAGTGTTGCCACGCATTCCCATGGCAATGCTCCACACAGCATTGCGTGTGAGGACTGGAGAGCTGCATCCAGACACATACTTACCACCACCGGACCACCACGGCTGGCTGTGTCCCCCCTCCTTCACCAAAGGTAAGAAGAAAGGAGGGGGATAGAGAAAGACTCTTCAAAATTTTTTTCATGTATCTTTACCACCCCCCCACACACACAGCACCCCTTCTCCCCACACACAGTATCCCTACCCCCCCACACACCGCAATCCTCCCACACACACAGCACCCACACACACACACACAGCACTTTACTCACACAGCACCACTCACACACACAGCACCCCTTAGAGACACACAAAGTACCCCTCACACAAAGCACTCCACACCCTTACACACAAACACATACACTGCACCCCTTAATGCAGTATGTGTGTGTGTGTTTAGCAGACTGTCTGTATGTGTATTCAGCAGTGTGTGTATTCAGCAGACTGTGTGTGTATGTATTCAGCAGTCTGTGTGTATGTATTTAGCACACTGTGTGTATGTTAGTGTTTGAATGTATGCAGCGGACTGTGTATGTTTGTGTGTGCACGTATTCAGCAGACGTGTACGTATTCAGCAGACGTTGTGTATGTTTGTGTGTGCGTGTATTCAACGGACTGTGTGTTTGTATTCAGCGGACTGTGTATATGAGTTACATTTTATCTATTTACATCATTATTTAAAATTTGTATAATTTAACTCTCTGTGGTTGTGTTTTTCTTTTAAAACAAAATATGTTAATTAGTTCGGACAACTGTACGAGTTGTTTTTTTCTAAACTTAAACCTCAGTATTTACATTTAATTGCCGTGTTAGCACTTTGAGGGGAAAAAAGTTGGAATGTATTGCGGTTTGGGAACTCTGGCTCAAAAAGGTTCGTCATTACTACTCTAGTGCATAACTCTAGTGGCGTCCTATTATTATATGTAGCTTCCCTTAAGCCTGTGATAAGGTATACAGGCCTTTACTAAGTGCTTCCCACCACTGCATTGTATGTTTGTGCATGAATGATAGTTGGCTAACGTTCCATATGAGGAAATGACTTGTCTGCTGCATAAGTTTCAAGTATCTCATTGTACTAAGTGTCATGTCTGTGTAGCTGATAGCCATGCTATAACAACTAAAGGAACCTTTTGCTCTAATATACCTGCTGCAAAACATGCAGAAACAAGTCTTCTTAACTGTGACAGTAAAGCGAAACCTGTGCAAACTGCTTTAAAACATATTTACATATTTTTAAATGCTAATATATTATGTGCATACTGTTAAATCCGTTTGAGCAGAATTTGTGCAAATTGTGCAGCAACCCAGGCCGAGTTTTTTTTGTGATCTGCTGGAGGTCAATGTTGGGATTATGTAGGTTCACATGGAAATAGTCCACTCTCATGGTAGCATTTCAAAGAAACATTCTTTGATACTTTGTCACTGGCTAAACACATTGCAACATGTGCATTAGAAAGTATTGTAGGTTATCTGTAATTAAAGGGACACCATAGGCACCACAACTTTAGCTTAAAGGGACACTGTAGGCAGCCAGACCACTTCAGCTCATTGTCCCTATTGCATTTAGTGCTGCTAAGCAACATTGCAGCTCAAGCGAAACTGTAATATTTACATTGAACACTAAGTCTGCCTCCAGTGCGTCTGCCTGGTATCTGACACTGGACGTCCTAACTCTCTGTGTGAGGACATCCAGAATCAGCTATTTCTCCCTTAAGGACCAAACTTCTGGAATAAAAGGGAATCATGACATGTCCCACATGTCATGTGTCCTTAAGGGGTTAAATCATTGATTCACTGCCTTCCTATAGAGAGGCCTTACGCGCGCACAGCACTCGCTGTGCATGCGCATTAGCTCCCGCTCGTCGGAGGAGGCAGAGCCGCAACCCAGCACTTAAGGGACATAGATGGTGGGATAAGGTAAGTTAAGGCTTTTTAACCCTTTATTTACCAGGGAGGTGGCGCAGAGGGAGCTGCTTGCAAAGTATACTTGGCACTATAGTATCCCTTTAAAGGAACACTATAGTGTTTGGAATACAAAGCTGTATTCCTGACACTTTCTGTTTAAAATGGCCGTTTCGGACCCTGCTCCTGCCACCCCTTACCCCCTGTTTAAAGGTGATTTACTCATCTTTTTTCTAGTGCCGCTAGGAGTCTCTGGCCTTAACCCCGCTCCGCCTTCTTGGCTGAGATCATCAACCTTAATTATCTCAGCCAATTCAATGCTTTCCAGTAGGAAAGCATTGGGAGGCTACACTGCACCAATAAGCATATTTTTATAGAGATGTATTGAATCCATGCATCTCTATGGGGAGCATTCAGCGTCTCCATGCAGAGCGTAGAGACGCTGAGCAACCCAAAAAGCACCTCAGTGGCTATCTGAGTGACTGACTGCCACTAGAGGTGTTCTTTGGCAGTAATGTTAACATTTACTGTCTGTCTTTGCAGGCTTTTTAATGTAGACACCAGAACAACTACATTAAGCTGTAGTTGTTCTGGTGACTATAGTGTCCCTTTAATGAAACCATTTTGGTGTATACATCATGCCCCTGCAGTCTCACTGCTCAGTTTCCTTTTAAGGGGATGCATAAACAGAAACAAAGGTGAATTGACGCCTAAACAGTAAGCTGAAAATTTATATAACATATATGCAGGTTTTTAATGTGAATATCGACCTAGTGTATTCCCTTGGTGAGAACCTTTTAATGTGTGATCTCGATTAAACAAGCAAACATTTGCAGTGCTAAAATTGTCACGGATGACTGTGAGATTTTGTTACTTGTACAGAACATAGTAGAATTTACTTAAAGGACCACTATAGTGCCAGGAAAACATACTCGTTTTCCTGGCACTATAGTGCCCTGAGGGTGCCCTGAGGGTGCCCCCACCCTCAGGGACCCCCTCCCGCCCGGCTATGGAAAGGGGAAAATGGGTTAAACTTACCTTTTTCCAGTGCTGGGCGGGGAGCTCTCCTCCTCCGATCCTCCTTCTCTCCTCCCCATCGGCTGAATGCGCACGCGCAGCAAGAGCTGCGCGCGCATTCAGCCGGTCACATAGGAAAGCATTCATAATTCTTTCCTATGGACGCTTGCGTGCTCTCACTGTGAAAATCACAGTGAGAAGCACGCAAGCGCCTCTAGTGGCTGTCAATGAGACAGCCACTAGAGGATTAGGGGGAAGGCTTAACCCATTCATAAACATAGCAGTTTCTCTGAAACTGCTATGTTTATTAAAAAAATGGGTTAAACCTAGCTGGACCTGGCACCCAGACCACTTCATTAAGCTGAAGTGGTCTGGGTGCCTAGAGTGGTCCTTTAAACTTGTGGTGACATGTGTAACATGCATATCCTGCTATCAAACTACGTAACTTATGCACAGTATCTCGAATTATAAAATAACATTGATTTTATGCTGCAACAGCATGTGGTTGTGTAAAGTGTCTTTGCTTTACACCCATAGGTTGTGAATAATAAGGTATGCGTCACTGTATAGGTTATTCTCCTTAATCTATTTAACAGAAGTTGTCCTGCACCCAAATGAAGGTTCTAAGCACATTGCTGTCTTTACTGAGGTCAAGCACTCCCAATTCTAACCTCTCAAGGGCTTTCTCTGTGCTTCCAGTGTGCTGGTAAAAATTACTTTAAACTCTTGTCAGCACAGTTACTGGTGCATGCATCACAGTCCCACTCAAATAAACCTGTCACAACACAGAGTCAGCAGCAAGAGAAGAGTACAAGGGCACGCCTCTAGCTTTTCATTCGAGCATCACTAAACGTGCACAGAGTGCCCAATTATTTCAGCATTATTGAGCAAGCCTACAGGAGAACCCATGCCTTGCTACATTAGATTTTCTTTAGTAATTTGCTCAAGTACCGCTGAGGACACTTAAAGAGCTTAAAACGGTGGCTGCAACCAGTTCCCTTTTCTGGGTTGTTAATTCAGGTTTATGCTTTCAAATTAACTGTCTCTGCATGCTGTGCAACAGGGCTAGAAAAACATGTTGGCACTAATTTTCTCAATTTTCATTCTTTTTCCTCTTTATCCGGACCACTTATTCAAAAATAACCAGTATATTGTATATATGTTTTTAAGGTTTGTTTCAATATACCCTTTGGTAACTAAAAATAAAATGCTTGTTTTTATGTAAAATAAAGCTGTAATACTTCAACAGTAAAAAAAAAAGTACTGATATTAATTACCCTCTGGTTATTTGGTCAGTAGTTGAACCCGTTGTTTCTATTCTATGAGCTACAAGGAACGCTCTTAAATTCTGCATGGTTTAGTCAGATATATGATTTGAAACTGCTTTTAATAAATGATAATTAATTTTTTTGTTTAATTTTTATAAATAGTTTTATTTTTTTATTTTTATTTTTTTTGTTTAGGTCTACAAAAGAGTATTATCAGGGCTTTCAGATTGACATGCATTTTCTTTTATGTTAATAGTTTTTTTTTTCTAGTTGTCCATATTTAAATTAGGACTCTAGACTCTGTATATTAGTCACATTTTCAAAAGTTGTACTATGAAGCTGTATTGTTATCATCTAAACAGACATAGGTAATTATGGTTTTATATTCAGAAATGAAAGACTCTGTACAGTGGTGGTCAATATTGGCTTTCTTCCAAACTTTAAAATATATGCGGAAACTTGAAAAGTGTCCATCTCTTTGGCAGGGCCTTAAAATGTTAAGTCCTGAGTACTAGCCAGGCCTTAAAACTTACTTGCTACTAGAAGCCATTGTATGATCACAAGGGATGAATTTCTACTTGCCAGGGCTTCCGTTTTGCTCGCCATTGGCTTTTGGCGATTGGAAATTTTGATCCTTCACTTTTGGTATACATTTAGTACTTGTTCATTATTGTGATAATGCAATTGTTACTGTATTGCTCACTGTTTTGAGCAGGCTCAATAACTCTGTTTAATTTCTCACAGCAGCAACAACTCCAGGCACAGCATTTGTCTCATGGGCATGGTCTCCCTGTGCCTCTGACCCCACATCCTTCTGGTCTGCAACCTCCAGCCATTCCTCCAATTGGTAGCAGTGCAGGATTGCTTGCCCTATCCAGTGCCCTTGGTGGACAATCCCACCTTCCAATAAAGGATGAAAAAAAGCATCACGACAGTGATCATCAAAGAGGTCAGAGATGAAGCATGTTAAGATCTGTATCAAAATGGCTGTTTATGTAGCAAGTGAGGAATAAACAATGCTAATATTTCTCTTATTAACTTATATTTTCCCTTACTGCAATTATCAATATGATGTGTCTTTTTCCATGCATATTGCATCATGTAGACGTGGCCATATCTCTGGCTTTAGAATGATGCACCTATCAAATTTAAAATGGCAGGAGGGGTACCTTTTTAAGTCTTTTTACAACACTGTGCGTTTGCGTGTCCTAGTTCTATACAGATATAAGTGGTAGCTTTCTAAAGGTGCAAAACTAACCCTCTCATATAACTT